AAGTTTGCACATTTTATTCCAGTTGGGACTACTTACTCTTCGGAGTGGTTGGCTGAGATTTATATCAGCGAGATTGTTTGCCTTCACGGTGTGCCAGTGTCCATCATTTCAGATCGGGGCACGCAGTTTACATCACAATTTTGGAGGGAAGTACAACGAGAGTTAGGCACACAGGTACAGTTGAGTACGACATTTCACCCTCATACGGATGGACAATCCGAGCGGACTATTTAGATATTGGAAGATATGTTAGGTGCTTGTGTTATAGATTTTAGGGGTTCTTGGGATCAGTTTCTGCCGCTTGAAGAGTTTGCCTACAATAACAACTACCAATCGAGCATTCAGATGGCTTCGTATGAGGCTTTATATGGGAGACGATGTCGGTCTCCGGTGGGTTGGTTTGAACCGGGTGAGGCTAGGCTATTGCGTACTGATTTAGTTCAGGATACTTCAGAGAAGGTTAAATTGATTCAGGATCGATTTCGCATGGCGCAGTCTAGACAGAAGAGTTTTGCCGACCGAAAGGTTCGCGATATTGCTTACATGGTATGAGAGAAAGTACTACTCTGAGTTTCGCCTATGAAGGGTGTTATGAGATTCGGGAAGAAGGGCAAGTTGAGTCCTAGGTATATTAGGCCTTTTGAAATACTTAAGAAGATTGGATAGGTGGCTTATGAACTTGCATTACCACCTAGTCTATCAAGTGTTTCATGCATCCATGCTCCGGAAGTATGTCGGAGATCCGTCTCATGTTTTGGATTTCAATACAGTGCAGTTGGATGGTAATTTGACTTATTATGTGGAGTCGGTGGCCATTTTGGACCGACAGGCTCGAAAGTTGAGATCAAAGAGCACAGCTTCACTAAAAGTGCAGTGGAGAGGCCAGCTAGTCGGAGAAGCTACTTGGAGATAAGCGGGAGATGCGGAGCAAATATCCACACCTATTTGAGACTCCATGCATAATTCTAAACTCGTTCGAGGATGGACGTTTGTTTAAGAGGGTGAGAATGTGACGACCCGGCCGACCGTTTTGAGTATTACAACCTCGTTTCCCCATTTACTGCTTATCCTCTGTTAAATTATAATTATGTGACTTGTCGGGGAGGTTTCAGAATGAATTGGAACACTTAGTTCCAAGATTTAAAGCTTAAGTTAAAATAGTTGACCATATGTTGGCATATGTGTAAACGACCATGGAATAAAATTTTGATGATTCCAATAGCTCTGTATGATGATTTTGGACTTAGGATTGCGTCCGGATAATTATTTGGAAGTTCGCAGTTAAATTAGGCTTGCAGTGGCGAAAATAGGAAATTAAAAGTTTGGAAGTTTGACTGGAGGTTGACTTTTTGATATCGGGGTCGAAATCTGATTATGGAAATTGAAATATGTCTGTTATGTCATTTATGACCCGTGTACAAAATTTGAGGTCAATCGGACTTAATTTAATAGGTTTCGACATCGAATGTAAAAGATGAAATTTCTTAGTTTCATTAAGCTTAAATTGGGGTATGATTCGTGGTTTTAGCGTTGTTTGATGTGATTTGAGGTTTCGACTAAGTTCGTATGATATTTTAGGACTTGTTGGTATACTTGGTTGAGGTCCCAGGGGCCTCGGGTGAGTTTCGAATGGTTAACGGATCAAAATTTGGACTTAGAAGAAATCTGAAAACTTTGCCTCCTGGTGCAATTGCACCTGCAGATATTTTCTCGCAGAAGCGAGCTTGGCATCGTAGATGCATTCAGGCGTGGAGAGGGGCAATGTGCGCAGGTGCAGAGCTTTTACCGCAGAAGCGGCCTGTTGATCGCAGAAGCGTGAGGTTCGTAGAAGCGAGTCCGCAAAAGCGACACCAAGGTCGCAGAAGCGTAGGATGGGGAAGCTAGGCAAAACCGCAGAAGCGAACATCCTCTTCGAAAAAGCGAGTCCGCAGAAGCTGAAAAATGACCGGAAAAGCGGTTGCGCAGAAGCGATTAAAAATTTTGTAGGTGTTGAACCTCTGGACAGTATACAAAAATAGAGGGTTCCGAGCTTTTGCCATTTTTGATCATTTCCAACACGGGTTGAGGTGATTTTCAGAGAGAATTCATGGAAAAACTTGAGATAAGTTATTGGTGATCATTGTTAGTCAATAATATTGAATTGTTATTGATTATTCTGACTAGATTACGTGTTTTTGAGGTGCAATTCAAGAAATTGCTCCTAGGGGTTTGAAAATAAGATTTGAGATTTGGAGGTCGAGTTGATGTCGGATTGGTATGGTTGGTCTTGTGATTGAATGGGCGTTCATATTTTGTAACTTTGTCGGGTTCCGATATGTGATCCCCACTAACGATTTTTGAGTTGAATTTTGAATTTTGTTCGAAAATTAGTATTTTCATATGGAATTAATTCCTATAATTTGTGTTGACTGTATCAAATTAATTGTGACTAGATTTGAGGCGTTTGAAGGACGATTCGCGAGGTAAAGGCGTATTGGAATAAAGAATTTCACGGCTTTAGGTATGTAACTCTTCTAAACTAGTTTCTGAGGATATGAATCCCTGAATTACGTGTTATATGAATTGTTTGGAAGTGACGCACATGCTAGGTGATAGGCGTGTGGGCGTGCACCATAGAAATTGTTACTTAAATAATTTCCGTAGAGTTGCATAATCAAAGAATCATGTCATAATTCACATGTTCCCCACGTGTTAGAGAAATTGAGCTGAGGCTCGTATTAAAGACCATGTTTAGGCTACGTGCCGATATTTTGGGACCAACGGAGTCATGTTGTTGTGGAATTAATTATTTTAAAATATAAATTTCATACTAAGTCATGTTCATCCATTTGTGAGGATATTTATGGGATCGAGCTGCACGTCGTAGCAGGCCATATTGGCATTATATTTATTATTATATGGATTGGGGTTGCGCGCCGCAACATGCCTTATAAGCTTTATTATTATGGGATCGGATTGCACGCCGTAGTAGGTCATATTGGCTTTATATAGCGCTTGGGCTGAAAGAGTCCCTCCGGAGTCTGCACCCTCCACAGTGAGCGCAATTGATTTTATATTGAGGGATGGATCTTTCCTAGACATGGATCTTGTCCGAATCATTTATATTTGGGGATGATCTTCCCCTGGGCTGGATTGGCCTTATACAGTATTGAGTGACTGACTGTCAGTTGATGTGTATATATATGGGATGGATCCTCCCTAGACTAGATGAGCCATATACAATACTGAGTGATTGAGCATTTTGAGATTGTGAGTACACGAGGTTTCCACTGAGGTGCATCACATACAGCATGTACATTGGCATATAGATATACATATGTCATATTCCTCAAATCATTCATAATTGATCTATTTTACTTGTGTTGAGTTTAACTGTTGAACTTGAAAGCATGCCTACATTTCTGTACTGTTATTTCTATCCTGGATTGTACCTATTGAGCTCGTCAATACTCTCATCCCAAAGGTTAGTCTTGTTACGTATTGAGTGCATGAGGTCGGTTGTACTCATACTACACTCTACGCTTTGTGTGTAGATCCAGGTACTTTCGGATACAGCAGTTGCTAGATTTCGGAGTTCATCTGTTGGAGACTATTGAGGTAGCTGCTTGGCGTTCGCAGACCTTGACTCTCTTTCCTTTCAGTTATTTGTATTGTTCTATATTTTCAGACAGTGTTTGTATCAGTCAGACTATGCTATCATTTAGATGCTCATGTACTCAGTGACACCGGATTTTGAGAGTGTATTGTATAAAATAATATTTTGTATCAAAAGTTTGTGGGATTTTACTCTAAAATTTATTTATTATGTTTTCAAAGTTAAAAGATAATTATGGTTATTGTGGCTGTCGACTTGCCTAGTATTGAGATAGGCACCATCACGACATGTGAATTTTGGGTCGTGACACATTAAATAAACCTTTTTTATATTTAAAAAATGACTTAATCGATCAGTTCATGTATAATTTTGAAATAAATTTTATTGAATGAACCGACTAGATGAGTCAATTTCTGCAGAAATTTGAGAATTTTGTTTTTGATGAATTGACCTCTTCAATTGATATTTATAAATTTTTGGGAATTCTTTTTGAAAAACTGACTGACTTGGTCGGTAGTCAATTAGCAGGCAATGCCCGTTTTAATGCTACACCACCTGCCAAACAAAAGAGCGTATACAAAAAGCTAGAATCCAACACTACTATTTTGCTGACAAACAACCAAAATCAATATATAAGAACCTAATTTACCCACTCTTAGCCTTTAAAAACATAATTATATCTTCATTCTTTTCTTTCCATAAGTCAAAAAGTGTACTATCCAATAAGATTAGTCTTAATTTCAATTTAAATCTTTGATTCGCCGCTAACTTAAATTAAGGCGAGGTAGCATATATATATATATATATATATTCTGACTAGAGGAGACAACTTTATGCTACCTAGCATTTCATTCTAATTTCTTAGTTTTTCTTGTTTTTTCAGTTTGATCTCATAGTGCTCTCAATATAGGTACATGACCTGTCAAGCAAACAATCGCTACAAATATACAGCACACAATTAGCTGTAGGGTTAGAGTCTTAGAGATAAACATGGGGAAAAATAATTATCTCCAAATACTAGAGAATAAAGTAAGTATGAGGAAACATATAATGCTTCCCTTAAAATAATCTCTAATTACAACTCTACTTCCTTTTTAAGTTAGAAATAAAAATTTGTCAAGATAATTTAATATTTAGGCGGTTACACGACATAAATAAATATCTTGCGTGAAAGTGAATCATACTCTCGCTAGGATTAAGCGCTAGACACTAGCAGGACCAGGGTCTTCAACTTGCAATAACCACATAAATAAATATCTTGCATGAAAGTGAAAACTCAATTTTTAATAAATTCTCTTTTTGATGATAACAAACAAATATACACAAAACCCTATACAATCCCAGCATGATCAACACATTGACAAGGCCATAACACTTAAAAGAACAAGATTATAAGAAAAATAGCTTTAAAAATTATCACTCCCCTGTTTTAATTTAAATAACACACTTTTCTTATTAGTCCGTCCAAAAAAGAATGACACATTTCTATAATTGAAAATAATTCAACTTTAAACTCTTCATTTTGCCTATTTTATCCTTAACGAGAAGCTTTTATAACCACACAAGTGTTATAGTACCACAGCTTTTACCCCTTAGGACATCTGACTATCACAGCAAACTCCACTGATTAACTTTAGCTCGAAACTCTGTCTCTGGTGCAGGAAATTCCTTCCTCTGCCTTCTTAGTCCACTCCTAAATGAGGCAATCACGAGTCAAGCTCAACACACTTGACAACATTCGAAAGATAAACAACTTCTAAATGAATTTGGTTCGAGATGCTTATTCTGAGGATGTGTTTGGTGATAAACATGTCATTTTCTGGTTTTGGTTGTCAGAAAATATTATCCAGAGAACACTTTCACCAAAATGGGTAAAATTGAGTAAATTTCATGGGTTGTCATTCATCTTTGTGTTCATTACCCAAAAGTCATTTTTTTTCTGTTATTACACAAAAATAATTTTACTATGCTCTAACTATCACAATAGTCACTTTGACCAAATTTTATAAAGCTTTCACCTGAAAAGTCTATTATGACCTTGACATTATAAATCCTCACATTTATGTAATACGTTCTATATTATATACTTTTACCAAGGTTTTTTTTACTTATAATTAAAATAATTTAATATTATTATTTTTATAATATGTCTGTACATTCAATTTTCCCTTAACATTAATTTTCAAGATATATATATAGGTAGCATTATTAAATTTGTCAGTAACATTACTGTGAACAAATCTCAAGTCAACGTTCTTAATCATGCCAAATGAAATATTTTTAATGATAATTATAAAATCAAAGTTCACGGATTTATCAGCTAAGCCATATTCGTTGATCCAGTAAACAAAATACCCACATTTAGCACATTGACACATCAGATTAACACTTTCAAATAAATAATATTATCAGATAAAGCTTCGAAAAGCTTAATAATGTTTTTTGGTCAACAAGATATTATATTAAAACCCAGTTAAGGTTGGTTACAGTAAACTGCGGGGTGACGATGTCATCACCCAACAATGAGTAATCTATTAGTACTACATTAGTACTATTGCATTCCCTTGTTTAAAAAACTTAATATTAAACACAAATATCTTTGAATTTTTGTTTTAAAAGTTTTACTAACTATAAAATATTATCATTTGTTAAACAAAACTATTTTTATTATTTGAAATAAATATTAAAAAATAAATATTTTGTCGTTTGTATATTTTAAAATATGTTCATGTTTGAATATGATTAAGCAAATTGAGTGCCGTGGAAAAATTGAATGTCTGAATATATTATAAAAATAATATAAAGTTATTTTATTTATAAGTAAAATACCTAGGTAAAAATATATTATATAGTATATGACATAGAAGGTATTATATAAATAAGAGAATTTATAATGTCAAGGTCATAATAGACTTTTTAAGTAAAAGTATTGTAAAATCTGGTCAAAATGACTTTTGCGATAACTAGAGCAAAGCAAAATGATTTTTGTGTAACAAAAGAAAGAAAATTGACTTTTGAGTAATTAACACAAAGTTGAATAATTTTTACGTAACAAAAAAAAAAAATGACTTTTGGGTAATGAACACAAAGTTGAATGACCACCCATAAAATTTACTTGGTAAAATGGCTTCCCTCACCTTTGGGTGGAAGTAATTTTTTTCATTTCATCAAAACAGTGTGTCTGATTTGCTAGTATCCTTATCAATTTTAAATAATAAAAATTTTCAAAAAAATATTTTCCACTCTCTAACCAAACAACATAAAACATTACCAAGATTGTTTTTTTTTTCAAAAAATTAGTCATTTTTCAAAAGTTATTGGCGCATCACCTGAAATGCAGTGGAAGTAACCTCAACTTTGATCCTTCTGTCAGTATTAAAGTGGTAGGAAGCAATGCTCTAACTTTGACTTGGAGCTATCGTCATCCCACTCCAATTGGCTCCACCAATCCGACGCTCCTCTTATTACTTTGATGTTCTTGGAAGTTTGAATAGAGAGAGGCAACTTCCTTATTTGGTTGCAATTTGTCAAGCTAAGTTCCTCCAGGTGTTCCCACGTATTCTCTGGCTCGCCCAGTGTTCCTAAGCTTGGACAGTTTTCCAACAGTAACTCCCGAACTCTTGGAACTTCTGAGTTGACAAGTGTCATCCGACAATTGGAAATTCCAATATCTTCCAGGTGCTTCGGTACAGAAAAAGCTCCACCAACGTTAAAAAGACATGTTAAGCTTTGACAAACGGCCATCTCTAGTTGGCGTAATTTAGAAAATCTTGTACCCAGAAAATGACCAAACTCAGAAACACTCTTTAAATTAAATAAGGAGCCGAGGCGGAGATATTCCAGATTGGGCAGAGGGTCAAAATGTTCATTTCCTTCTTTCAGATTGGGCAGAGGGTCAAAATGTTCATTCCCTTCTTCCACTGGTTTAAAATCACATGAACAGTTCACAATGTGTAGTGATTTTAGTCCATCAAAACTGTTGTATGCAATCAACTTCCTGAGACCCATGCATTTTATCAAGTATAAATCTGAAGCAAACTGCAACATGCCTGAGAGCTCTCCCTTACTGAAAATTTGACACTGCGACACGCCAATCATCCTTGTTGACTTGTTGAATTTTGCTTCCATTGGACCTACCCCAACTTCTATGCGAAATCTTTCCAATCTAGACATCCAGGTGTGGTCTCTATTCAAAATTGATGAGCTATCCAATTTAACAAAAAGAGAAGTCAGATTGGGTAGATATGATAGCTCATCAAAAGTAGATGATCCAAGAAGAGTGTCCCCCTCCTTTCTTACATTGCTCAAAGTGCCCGGATAAGGATGCGGGGTTAGGTACCATCTAGGCGGCTGAAAGTATGTGGTATCCAACATATTTAACATTTCAATGCTAGACAATTTGGGAAGAATTCCTTGGCCGATGCTCTTCAAATATGTTGCAGGCATATTTAATAGCCTCAGATTTGTCAACTTGTCCAATCCCTGCGGTAGACAATTTAATTTTGTATTATCACAATCGAGCAATTGCAAATTGCAAAGATCACCAATAGGTGGTAACTCTGTCAGCCAGCCGCAATTTTGCAGTATTAGAGCATTTAATTGAGATAAACTATTGATGGAAGAAGGCAGTGCTCTAATACCAGTTCCACTCAGATTCAGAACTCTTAGGGCTGGAAATGCCTGAAAAAGTTCATGCGGAATTATCTGAAGGGGACTATTATCTTGCAGAAGTAAAGTTGTTGTTTTTGGGCATTTCTTGAAAGAATCAGGTAGGCGTTCAATTTTGTTGCTTACGAAAGATATTCTCTTGACAGAAACTGACATAATTTTAATATGAGTCAACCCAATTCCAGCTTGAATAAGAGAATTGTGTTCATCCCCTAATGAATTAGCTATCCATATAGCAACATTACGAACCATGGCATGCATCTTAACCGAATCCAACCCCCCATGGGTTTCCAGCAAGCAGGCATCTTTTAAACTCTCAATCACTGTGATTCCCCTGTTGTAGGCTTCTTCGTATGTGTCATGTTCACCAAGGAGCCCCTCTGTCCACCAACAATGTATGAGATCATCTGTTGAAACAGCCACTGGATATAAAGAGCAATACAAGAAACAATTTTGAATGTCACCTCCCCTTTTGTTCACATGTTTGCTTGTTTGCTCTGAGGACAATTCAATACCCTGAGATTCTAAAGAATCAAAACTCCACTTGATGACCTTGTAAACCATATTTTCAAAATCTTTATTAGGTTTGGACATTCTAAGTGATTCCAAAGTACCTTTCCATAGCTCGACCCTTTCCTGCCCTCTCATAGAGGCTGCGATAACAGTGATTGCTAAAGGTAATCCATCACACTGCTTTGCAATTTTCTTTGCAAATGGTTGAATATGCTCCAGATTGGCATTATCTCTTGCATTTTTGACAAACAGTTGCCAAGATTCATCCTCGTCAAATGTGTACACCTTGATTTCGGCGTCTGTTCTCATTTGCCTACAAACATTCAAAAAACGAGAAGTTATAATTACCTTGCTTCTTGGGGAATCTTCAGGTTGGGGCACACCTATATGATCCAAATTTATAGCTTCCCAAACATCATCAAGTATAAGAAGGAAACTCATAACTTCCTTGAGCCTCTGATGAATTCTACTAGCAATGGTTTCTACGCTTTCCTCGCTATCTACCTTAAGGCTTAATCTGTTGGCAATTTGTGCTTGAACCTTTCTAATGTCCGTTGGCGGTTTGGGCACTGTAACCCATATCACAACACCAAAAGACAGTTTGGAGCTCGACGCAGCAATCTTTAGGAGCTCATTGTTTAGATTCTTCACCAAAGTCGTTTTGCCGACTCCTCCCATACCCCATACACCAATGATGCATACCTAAAAGGATTCAAATACCCCAAAAAATACTTTACCAAGTGAAAGATGCAACAAACATTATAAAGGAAACTTAGCAAATTAGAGAATGAAAGAGGTATATTGGCTTTGATAATTCACCCATAATTCTTGATCTCAACTTAATCTCCACTTAACCTCCTTAAGAAAATACTAGTTTCTATGCTACGTGTCTTGCACATAAATCTTTAATCAATTATTTATACATAAAAACCAATTGAAGTTATAAGAAAACTACACACAAAAAGAAACACATTGTAAAGCAATTGACATGAGAAAAATGAGACAAATCTTTAAGTGCAAAAAATCAATATTAGTACACTAGCATAATGCTTGAATTCAAATTGATTGCACAAACCATTGATCTGTAAATAAATACTACTTCCGTTCCAGTTTATGTGAACCTATTTCCTTTTTGGTCCGTTGCAAAAAGAATGACCCCTTTCTAAATTTGGAAACAATTTTGCTTAAACTTACAATTCTACCCTTAATGAGAAGCTTTTATAACCATACAAATACTCTGGCCCCTTTTTGAATTGTTTAGGACCACAAATTCCAAAAGTCTTCATTTTTTCTTAAACTCCGTGCCCCGTCAAACAGGTTCACATAAATTGGAACGGAGGGAGTAAAATTTTAAACTTAAACACTACCTTAATGCATAAGACGTTGAAATCCAAAACTAAAAACTACAACCACAGTTTACTTGAACTCCAAAAATAAAGAACTACGTTACAAGAATAATTAAAAATATAGAAGTTAGCCTGTCATTGTATTACTTGTACTTTTTTATAGCAGAATAACTCAAGTGCATGATACACACGTAAATGCCTACAATGCCTAAAAAGTGTTTTTACCAAAAGTAGAATATTTACTTCTTTTAATTAAAAATATACTCAATTATATAGACTTTATCTTTTTCCAATTAAATGTGTACTTTTGATTTTCAAAATTTAGAAGCGAGATTTTACGACTTATTTAGAAGCGAGATTTAATTAGTTAAACAATAAGAAATAACTAAAATTTTAAGAACAAAAAATATTTATATTCGCATAAAAAATATTACTACTTTGAGATTAGACTACTCTGCTTGTTATTTTTAGTTCCCTATATATTTTTATATTTTTAATTAAATACGTTATTAAGCCCACAGGCGGGGCCGGCCCAGCCCAGCCTCTGTAAAGCCTCATGGGTCACGGGCTTACGCGGGCCAGGCTTAAAAGCCTCATTTTTAAATGGGCTCCAAAAATCTTAGCCCAACCCTATTAAATCACGGGCTGGGTTGGGCCGGGCTAAGCCCATACTGACGGCTCTAACATAGATTTGAAATCACAAGGTTATGAATAATAGATTTTGAGATTTGTTCAGGGTTTTGACTAGTTTGACTGAGGATTGACTTTAACCATTGACCTCAATCTTGACTGGTCCTAAAATTTTCAGAAATGGTTCACCTAGACTAATTTAGACATAATATTTTATATTTTGTAAAGATTAAGGTCATTGAATGTCATCTTGGTAGACTTTGGCATTTCAAGAGAGTTGGAGGTTTGACTCATTTTAAGGCAAGTAAGATTTTAACTTCTCGAATACTTGCTTTTATGATGTCATGATCTAAAAATTGCATGAATGCTTTCAAATGCCTAGTATGTTGAGGGAATGTGTACTAGGACATACATACACTTTTCTCAGCTTATATGCTATATACCGAGGTAAGGCTGCGTACAATAGATCCTTGTGGTCCGGCCCTTCCCCGAACCCCGCGCATAGCGGGAGCTTAGTGCACCGGGCTGCTTTTTTTTTTACCGAGGTATTTCTCTCTCTTAGTTGAGTTACTAAGCATGAGGCATATCTTTTATGATAATTGAGCTATGACATGCTAGTTTACATTGTTTAGGAAGCATGTTGTGATGTGTGGCATTGCCTACTATGTTGAGACTCATAGCATGACTTTTCACTTATTTTTTGATATTATTATTGCATTATTTACCATGCGTACATTCATTTGTTGTGAGACGCTGCTAGCATCATACCGCCTATGGTCTACCACCCGTTAGTGCACAGTGTGTTTTCCACCATAGTGGTCTGCTATCAGTTATGACACTGATGGTTAGGAACTGTATAACCATTGTTGGCTATGGACGGACTGTTTACTAGCAGACAGTTAAATGAAATATATGGTCCAACACAAGTAAGAGTGTGCCCTATTGAAGGACTGCTGCTATGCATAGGTGACACTATAAGATATTGTTTATGAGTTATATTGTGTATATCTGCTACTTTCATTTATACATACATTATTGCCATGATATATATTATACCTTGTTCATATTATGCATGGTATTTTCAGAGACTTGCTCCGCGGGGTATGATAGAGGGGAGAGTCAATAATTTTGTTGGGCATAGGCTCACCCTTGTTGTTATTTTTTGCCATGTGCAGATCCTACCACTAGCACAGCTGCCGGCTATCTTGATCTCGCTTGAGGCTGTCGGATCGTGGTGGCACCTCTTCTCTATCTATTTTAATCATTTCAATTATTTGGGGCTGTGTCCCTAGATTATCCATATCTTTCCCAAGTCGCTCCTTGACTATATTATGGGTATTTGGGCCGTTTAGACATTGTATCTCGTTTTAGACTTTCGCCATGTGTCGGTATTTGATATTATCTATGATATGTATTTGAGTTGAGATAGTTTTAGCGTTACTTTTGGTTTGGCGTAATAGTTCACTTGGCCAATCATTAACTCGCCAAAAAAAAAACACCACCATTAAAAGCCTTCAGGCAGCATTTCTTCCATAACCAAGCAAAAATATTTCACCACTACCCTTACTTCTTTTCACACCTACAACACCCATTACAACACCTATAATTTCAGCGCCTGGCTAGAGCAGCTGAACCTTCACTTTAAAAGATTTACCCAGCTTCGGTCACCTTCTCTCACAAATCGTTTTTTTTTTAAAGATTTTCTTTTAGTAACCGAAACAGATGAGACTTTCCAAGAATAGTGAAGGGGTTAGAGAAAAAATTTACCCAGCTTCGATCAAGAAATACAAAGATGGAGTGGAGAAGGGATTAGAGAAAATGGTTATAATTAATAAATTTAAGTGTAATTAATTGCATAATATCCAATTGAAAATTGACACTTGTACATATTAGTTACAGTTTTTAACTCATTTTATGCTTCTGACGCGCTCCCAAGAAAGTGGTTGCACTTTCACTGTCACATCATTGCTAAAGGGTGTATTTTTTTCAATGGGGTAGTGTGTACTTATGCCTTTTTCCTTTAATTATTTTCCAAATATTCATCCCACAAGTAAATTCATCATTTTTAGGAACTTACACTTTTGTCTTTAATTTTTATTTTATAAATAAAAAACATTATTTAATAATCCTTATGCGATTTTTTTAAATTGTGTATGTATTAACATAGGGTAACATTCGCAAAGCGCATACCCAGATACTAATATTTATAATAGTACAAAATTCATTTTGACTAAAACGAAGATAAATTAATATCATAGATAGACTATCTAGCAAAGGAAGAAATGAAGCGAGCATATTTTTATTAAAGCTACGACTGGTACTTGTAATATTTAGACTCATTTTTGAGAACTTCCATGTCCTTCGACGCACTATTACTTATTATTAATATAATTGCTACTTTAAC